CTCGCGACTGGCTCCGGCCACTTGCAGAGAGATCAGCGTCTGTCATTACCCCATCTGTCATTACACACTGAGAACCCGGCGGGGCCGCTATGATATCACAACGGCCTCTCCGGGTTCTCAGTGTGTAATGACAGATGGCGTCCCTGGTTACCTGGTAACCAGGGACTCTATCTGTCATTACTCTCCCGGACGCCCTGGGAGTCTAATACGGCTCCTGGCCGCCCAGGAAAGAAACACTTTCTCCCGGAAAGGTTTACTCTGCTCGATAGACCAGAGTAAATCTTTCCTTGCGATCTGTTTTTTTTTTCCTGACGTGGTTGAGGCATATGCGTTCGGCTCGACTGAGCCGCCCGGCCACGTTCGGGAGCTATACGGGCTATAGTGAATAGCCCGTACAGCAACCCTTCGGTTCTACTGAACCGAAGGGGTCCTGGGGCCGAAGCTAGCCGAAGGATCGGCCGAAGCTACGGCTAGATCCTTCGGCAGCTTAGTGATTAGACCCCATAGTGTTTTTGCATATACTGTATGTTCTTGCTGTATTATGCTCAGAATTAAGGAGTACATTTTTAAAAATATTTTGTATTTATTACTAGTCATGTAAATATAAAATGTTGTTTATGAGCATTTAATGTTTACTACTTGCAGCCTGAAGGTGGCAAATAAAAGGTTAGAAAAGAAGGGGTCACTGGCACCCCAGTATGCTGATCAATACGCTTTTATTGATCCATGTTCAGTGTCACATAACACAACGTTTTGGGGCCACACAGGGTCCCCTTCATCAGGCAAAACAGTGATAACGGTTGCAAACACAGTGAACATAAGCATAACTACACTAGTGAAGAATACATCAACCAATCAATAAGCACCCCAACCCCTCATGATGTGGCTATGATGTAATTTTACCTCTAAAATTCATGTTTAATGTAGAAATGACGAGAAGAAACAAAATCAATAAACATCGTGCATATATATCCAATATAATTGTCACAGAAAATATGGAGTGCAAGCACCTTGAATATGAGGTAATACGACCGCTATAAAAGGCTAGTTCTCTAGGTTTTTAAAAAGCTAATTTATTTCTGTGTTGTAAATTTATTGATAGTATGTGTTTCAAATAGACCTGAATAGCAGGATATCAGAATACACAAATTACTTAATGACTCGGGGGATAAACACATTCCCCTCCTTCTCTGCTAAAAAAGATGGTACCTTCTGGATTTTAATACCAAGCATGTTCTGCAATCACTATGCTATGAAAATGCTAAAGCTGGTTAAAGAATGCTAAAGAATTGTTTCGTTTTACAAAAAGATTTTATGAAAATAAAAAAAAACTATATTTAAGACATTTATTTAAACTTGTAAAATATAAAGCATATAATTGTCAGAAACCCATAATGAAAGGAAGGAATCTTCTGTTGCTATGACTACACATAGATATTTATTGAGATACTTTTATATAAGCCATTCTAGACAAAATATTTTTTTAAAGAAGTATAAACGGCAAGAATTAATTACAAATCACAGTAAGTTACAGAAAGATAAATTCTGATTGTTTTTATGGATTTCTACACAATGCTTATTTCTCTTTTCTTTACTGAATAATCATATATGTACTCTGAGGGCCTGCTCACATGATATCAGGTCCTGATCAGGTGCGGACCTGCAGACTGATGCAGTGCGTTTTTGATGCGTTTTGGACGCGTTTTTGCCGCGTTTTGGACGCGTTTGCGTTTCCGGGCCGGACAAAATGTGACATGCAGTATTTTTTCTGTCGTAAGCTGAACGTGAGAACTGGAGCCCATAAAACACATAGGGATACATTGGGATGCATTTTGAGTGCAGCAGCGTACGGAGCCGGTCAGCACACAAAACGGACGTCCTGTGAACAGGCTCTCAAGCTTGCATTAGTTTACCTAACGGCATGTATGTATGTGTATATGTGTGTGTGTGTGTGTATTTGCATTGCAGAAAATGTAATTTAATATGTAAAAGGGGGCAGCCATATTTGCTCATTACAAATGCAGACTTTGCTACCTACTTTGCCATGTACTTTACTGATTTATTGTACAATATAAGTCTTAGGGGTCTATTCACTAAGCTGCTGAAGGATCTAGCCGTAGCTTCGGCCGATCCTTCGGCTAGCTTCGGCCCCAGGACCCCTTCGGTGCATATATCTAGCCCGTACAGCTCCCGAACTTGGCCGAGCGGCTCAGTCGCATTGGTCGGCCGACAGCCTGCTTCTGACAGCTGGGCGGAGCCAGCCGTGATCTTACGGCTGGCTCCGGCCACTTGTAGAGAGATCAGCGTCCCTGGTTACCTGCTAACCAGGGACGCTGATCTCCAAACAGCAAACTCTCCCTGGCGCTCCGGGAGTCTCCTGCTCCCGGCCGCCAAGGAGTACGGCAGCAGAACCGCCGGACAATAGAAAACTGTTGGGCGGAGCTAGCTGTCACTGCTAGCTCCGCACAATCGTTTTCTATTTACTTTTTTAAAACTTTTAAAACTTTTTAAAAAACTTTTTTAACCCTCTGAGGGACCGGGCAGAACAGCCGAGCTGAATGCTGCTCAGCGGCATTCGGCTTATCACTCACTGCTGTTTGGCATCTATATGAATAGGCCAAACAGCAGTGAGTAGCCTGCCGGAGGTTCGGCTCAGCCGATCCAGATGTTGGATCGGCTGAGTCGAACTCCTTCTGCACTTCGGGTCAGCCGAACATGCTGAGCATGTTCGGCCGACCTGAAGCCATGCGAAGCAGGCCGATGTAAGGCTGGTTTCAGCCGATATACGGCTGAAATCAGCCGTACCAGCCTGAAGTGAATAGCCGAACAGTATTCGGCTCACTTCACTTCAGGTCGGTCATTCACTCGGCTGCCTACGGCAGCTTAGTGAATAGACCCTTAAGTCCACTGACCAACCAACTTATTGAAAACAATGTACTCCTTATGTGGCTCATATCTTAAGGATGATTTGAATTGTGTATGTGTGCCCAAAATGAAGGCAAGCAGAAAACAAAAGACTAGTCACCAGTATTGTCTTTGGGCTTCCTGCAGCTCTTCCCCATTACTAACCATGCTGTGTTGTTAACTGTCTATGTGTGGAGGTGGTCTTAGTAGAGCTTTCTTTCCTCATGTAAGAGCTTCAGTGATATCACACTGCAGATATGCTCTAAAGCTATGATGCTCAAGGCACAGGGAATGCACTGCTGATTTTTAAAAGGGTAGAGTTTTCAGGGTACTGCTTTGGCACAGTTAACATTTCTAGATGTTCCTTATAAAATAGCACAAATTCACTTTACAAGTTCAAGTCCACTTTAACAGTTATGAACATGAAGAGAGAAACAAAATAATTATACTGAACCACTAAAGCTACCTGTAGTAACTAATCCCTAATCCTCTATATTGGATACAATAATATGAATAAGAAATCTAGTAAACCATGCATTAAGAGCTAAATATACCATATACATTCCCCTTTAAGAGACTAGTAGAGCCTAATGTTACATACATATAGTTATATAGATGCATAGTAAGGTTGATAAAATACTGGTGTCCTTTAAGTTCATTGTTTCTACACTCCTGAAACACCCTGTGCACCTGTTACCAATTTTGTCACACAGGAAGGTAAAAAAATGTATTAACAGTGGAAATAATGGATGTTTCTGAAATGTCACTTCCATTTTGTGAAGTCGTTCAGGTCAGCTAGATGGGAAATCTTTGTGTGCAGTAATAAACACTTCCAAGTCTGTTCTGCAGTGCTCATTATTACCCCATACAGAAGCCCTGCATTGTGCAGTCCTCACCCCAGGCAAGGCAATTCTTCAGTGAGTAGAGCCACATTTTGTTCAAGAAATAATTGCTTGGGTAACAGAAAAGTTTCTTCTCTAGTAATATGTTGTATTTTTAGTCTTTGGAGGAGATTCAGGAGGACACCTACAATCAATCTCATTCATCAATTTTTTAAATTAGGTTTTGTATGTATGAATGACACACACCCAAAAGTACAAGACTTTGTCACCAATTACGTAGCCTATAGTAAATGTTCATAATCAAATTAATTATACATGAATGTACTACGGTATGTCAACCATATTAAAAAAAAGCTATATAAAAGTACTTTACTGGATAACTAAAAATCCCACCCTTCTCACCACTATATGTACTAATATGGATGGATTTTAAATGTATACCTCAGTTACTTACTGAAACCAGGAGCTATAGTTTTATAATTTACCTTTCAGCTCCACCTGAATCATTGATACAATATTCAGCTATCCTGAATACCCTATTAAAAAGATCTGAACATTTGCTTATTTAAACCCCCTAGGACACTCTGCTTTAAGCATTGCAGCCTCTGTACCTGTGTCACTGTGTGACCTAACATGTTTATGCCTAGTTATTGAGAATCCATCACAAGCCTGGTAAAACCAAACTTTAGGTTTTAATAGAGGCAACTTTAGTGGGGGTGCCCGGCATAGGCATGCAGCCCCTAATTTAATGTACATGCATTGCTCTCTAGGATATACAGTTCCTGTCCCCTTGAAGAAGCCCAATGGGGCGAAACATATCGGGCTATTTTGAACGAATTAACAGAAACCGCTTTGAGGAGTTAACTAATCATGTTGTACAAACGAATTATGTGATGTCAATGCAATTACATGAACTATATATGGAATAATCATGTTTTATTGAATGGAATTTTAATCAATTACTTAACAAATCATGCTACATTAATAAATCTTTTTGTAATTTTATACTTTAACAAGAGAGCGTCCAGTATTTTTTTAAGCCCCTCCCCCTAGGTTCTTGGCATATCCCTAGGTGGATTTAATTACTTACTCCAAACTTTAGGTTTTGCATAAAATAATCCAGTGGGTGGCCATACTTATTACCACCTAAACCTAAAATGATATTTTAGGGTGGACTTTTATGAAATTGATAATGTTAGTGGGATCAGATATACAAATAAGAGAAGCTGCTGATTAAACCTCTTCTTGTTGCAGTTATTCATGGTGGATAATGGAGCCGATGACTGGAGAATAGCCATGACCTACGAACGCATCTTCTTCCTCTGCCTGGAAATACTAGTGTGTGCAATTCATCCCATTCCGGGAAATTACACTTTTACATGGACAGCACGACTTGCCTTTTCTTATACCCCATCCACAGCTACAGCAGATGTGGATATTATTTTGTCTATACCAATGTTCTTAAGACTATATCTTATTGCCAGAGTTATGCTTTTACACAGCAAACTTTTTACTGATGCCTCTTCGAGAAGCATTGGAGCACTAAACAAAATAAACTTTAACACACGTTTTGTAATGAAGACTTTAATGACAATATGTCCCGGAACAGTACTGTTGGTTTTTAGTATTTCATTATGGATAATTGCTGCATGGACTGTCCGAGCCTGTGAAAGGTAAGATTATCTAATTTACTTTACATTTCCTTTAGCAACCTCTTCTTAAATCACTGTATTTACAGAGTGTATGTGTTGTAGAGTTTGTGATGACCTTACTGTGATCAATTTAGTAGAAGAACTTTTAAAATCACTGGCTGTCTGGGTTTTTAAAGAGTTGTAAGATTTCTGGACATTAGCGTCTTCTACATTGACACAATCACTTGTAATTTTTAAAAGCAGAATACCAATGGTAATCATAGATAGGGCAGGAAATCTTGTTTTTTGGTTAATGGTTACTGCCAAGATTTAGTTCCTGACAGTTGAGATCCTCTTTGGTGTTCCAGTATGCATTGTTCATTGCAGCAGCATAGATAGTCTTAAATTGGACGTAAGCAACTACTGTCATGGTTGCCAAGGAGGATAGTCAAAAAACATAGTTAGGTGGTATGTGTTCATATGCTAGAAGGAAATTCTATAGAACCAAAATCATTGGTGTTGATTTTCTAAAGGCAAAGGCTGTTTACTTTGCAAGGGAAATTTTCCTTCGCTATTTGCATGTTGTGAAAACTCGCTTTGCAAAGAATACCCAATCACTTGCAAGGAAAATAAAACATATACAGTATATTTGCTTGCTCATGGTTGGAAGTCAGCAGAGCTTTACCTCATTCACTAAGCTAGGGGAAAAATTCACTTGGAAATCCTCTTGCACATTAAACAGTCTATTTGCCGTTGGTAAATCAACCCATTTTATCTTGGTTGCTTTAAGTAAAACTCCCAGCATAGCCTTTAGTTGAAATGATATTTGCATATTCTGTTTTCTGTTTTTATGCTTTACTGATCATTTAAGAAAACCAATAACGAAAGATATTTCTGTATGCAGCCGGTGAATTTACAGTAAATTGTAACTCCTGATCTGAATACTTGTTCTGGCTCAGTGGGCTAGAGTTTTGAAGCCAGGTGTTTAGCATGGCCACAAAGTATCTACTGTAGCATTTGCAAAAGGTTAGAAATGGCACTTTAAATATTCCTCTCCGCACATATTTGATTTAATCTTGCCCATAATTTTAAGATTCAGCTTTGTTATACAACTAGCCAAATACAGGCTGATGTTTACAACAAAGATTAAAACAAATCTAACCTGGCCTATAAAGTACATTAACATGAATGTTGAAGTGCTGCTGCAAACATTTTATGGAAGTGGTGACTGCAAGTACATGTGTTAGTCTTTAACGTGATCCTTCTAGAACCCTTCAACTTTCCTCCAAGCCAAAATTAAGCTCTGCCACTTCCTATCATTGAGTCTTACAGTCTGCCATTGATTTTACAGTTAAATTACAGGAGAAGGGTCTTACCATCTGTTGAATTACGGGAGGGGAAGGCTGTGATCTTGATTTGGAAGATGAGGCCATGTATACAGCCTGCACGTAGGATCCAGGGGGCTTCACTGGGACACACATATTAATGTGAACATCGGTACAGGTAGTTGCAAATACCATAAGTGTCCTCTTCAGCAGTGCTTTTACTTTAAATACTTTTTAGGGCAGTTTAGTTTATAATCCTCAATTAAAAAAAATAACACATTAAATAAGAAAAACCTGTTAGTCAGAAATCTTCTGTTATGCTAAGCCTCAAATAATTCGCCACATATCTTAAATACATTCAGATTACTTTAAAAAAAAAAGCCAAACATTGTAAATATTATCTTTTTATATTTCTACTAGATCCAATAGAATTAGGGTAATAAGATGCGAAACGTCTGCTATAGATGCGATACAGTCTGCTAAAGCAGAAACATCAGCAGCAGGTTTTGTCACGCAGGGAATGTATGAAGAGGTCAGTTTTTATTGCCTTTCTGTACAGTTCATACACAAAATTGAGGTTTATTACAATCTTCTCATGGCCGTACAAATTTGATTGATGGCCACTTTGCCTGCCGAATGCAACGTTCAGTCTGGGATTGGGCCATGTTGGGCTTTTCTAACAGAAAAAGGAAGCAGATATGAACTGCACTTGTGCTCCTTCTAATCATCAGCAGAGTCTCAAGTCAACTTAGCAAAGGATGGAAAGATGATTTAATTCCCATTGTTTTGGGAGACGCATCTACCACCTTGCCTTTTGCCGTCTATTTTCCATATTATTACATCAATGTACCATAGGTTTTACGATACTTAAGCAGTTCAACAAACTCTGATCCCGGGGATTCTCTCGAGTTTAATTCGCTTATAAGCTACAGACTAGACTGTTGTATTGTAAGTATTATGATTAGGGATGCACCGATACCGGTATTTTGGTACTAAGTACATGTACCGATACATTTTTTTTGGTACTCGCCGATACCAATTATTGAGTAACGGAAGTCCCATTCAGGAAGCCAGGTGGCGTGTAATGACTTGCCACCTGGCTTACTGATTAGCCGGGCAGCGTGTAAAGACTTGCCACCCGGCTTCCCGATTAACAAGAAAGTCTGTCCCCTCTTACCTTGGTATGTCCAGCCTGTCCCCCCCGGGACCTCTCCAGCCGGTACCCAGCTGGAGCCGTCTGGCTGGCCAATCAGGAAGCCAGGCACCGTGTAATGACACCCGGCATTCTGATTGTCCGGGAGGCCGGCTCCATGCTCCCTCGTCATAAGATGACGAGTAGGCATGAAGCCAGCTTCCCGGCCAATCAGAATGCCGGGCGCTGTGTCATTACAAGGCGCCCGGCTTCCTGATGGGCCAGCTTCCCGACCAATCAGGAAGCCGGGCAGTGCGTCATTACACGCTGCCCGGCTTCCTGATTGGCCGGGAAGTCGGCTCCATGCTCTCTCATCAGATGTGACAAGAGAGCATGGAACCGCTTCCCAGCCAATCAGGAAACCGGGCAGCGTGTAATGACGCGCTGCCCTGCTTCCTAATACAGGAAGTATCGGGCTAGGCATCGGAGCATTTGGGCGAGCACAAGTACTCGCCCAAATACTCGGTATCGCCACCGATATCGATTCTAGTATCGGTGCATCCCTAATTATGATACCATCAGGGCTCTGGGAAGAGATAATGTTTAGTCATAAAAGAAGGAAGTTTCACTTAATAGTAACTTAGTAACTAATAGTACACAATATGCTGTGTGTATGTGCATTAATCAGCTATTGTAGATACAAAGGCAATTTTTTCTCATAGTTTAGTCCTTATCAGTTTATCTGTTCAGTCAAAACTGCACACATGCCAACTTTATCTTTGGGAAACATAAGAAATTGGGTAGAATAATCCAAAGGTGCCCTGATTATTGCCTAATCCTTTCAGCATTGTCAGGGCTGAACAATAACCATGTCTTCAGGGACTCTACCACTTTCTCAGACTCTCAAAATCTTTGTGAAGCCATTCAAAGCTCAGCTGGTGCATATGAGAGGAGAAATTCAAACACCACCTGTGAGGTTTGGTTTACATGTAAGAGTTACTTATAAGGTGATAATGAGTGAATTGAATGTGTTGGAGGTTCTTATTATTGCACAGAGAAATTGTACAACCTGTTGGAAATTTGCTGCATTGTCAAATAGTCATTTTTACCATTTCCTATGTAGAAGAGGGAACAAAACTTGTATGCTGCAATTAAAACATCAGTTGAGTGAGAAAGAACATATAAGGACTCTAGCAACACAAATTGAAAAAAGGCAATGGTCCCAGTGCCCAAAGCTTTTGGTGAAACATCTGAATCATATTTATAGAGCATAAGAAAACTGTTTGTATAGTTATTACTTAATACTCACTTCCGGTCCAGAAACACTTTGCACAGATGTTTACATTTTTTCTCTTTCACTACCTTGTAGAGATCTCCTGGAACCCTATAGACCAGGAACTCAAATATGCAAATAACTATTTCAGTTCCTGGAGTTGTTTGACCTTGACCCTGTCCACCTACTGTGCCTATTTGATAGTGAGGTTGACCATTAGAAGAATGGAATAATTGTGAAATGGGAAAGACAAGATCAAGGGCTGCTTGCCTATGAAAGCTCTTTGGGTTTCATTGCTGGGAAGCTTTAAAACATGTTTCAGAATATATGCAGGCATGGTAGGATTAGTTGAAATATCTGAAGCAATTAATGTTGGTTTAGGTTTCGGCATGATATTTAAATTGATGCCAGGTTCACTTTAAAAACTACTGTGCTGATCACTGATGGGCTCTATGGTACTGTCCATTACTTTATCTAGGTTTACAGGGCAAAAGAGGTCGGCATATTTTACTTTTTTGAAATTCATCATTTGTGTTACCTACTGACTTCTATTGCTGTATAAATAATTTAGCTTTGTGAATGCCAAGGATGCATTAAGCAGTTATTTTAGGCTGCTTTACCTGACAGCAGTGTTTTTTTTAAAATATAGACCCAAACAAAATGAACTTTTATGTAATACTAGAAAAAATCTGGTGTTTACTCTTTTCTGATACATATTGCTATTATGATTATTATTTTTATAAAATAATGCAGATTTTTATGAAAACAGTTTCCACACAGGCAGTTTTTACATTTATAGAGCTTATATGCTCATGTTTTAATTCCCCCACTTTGGATGTCATTGATAGAAACGCGTAGCACAGCTTAAAAGTCTGCAGAACGTTGCAGCACCATAGCACACAATGGGCATTCATGGTATGCAACGGATGGTCTTTTTTGATGTTTTGTAAATGGAATTGTAATCGTTTCTGTGCACTTGGAAAATTTCAGCTGACACCTGATTTCTAAGACAAATATATATTTCCAGTGATTTTATTTATTCTCATTGTTAGCCGAATTTATAAGGCACTTATTAGCATTTTAACAACGCTGGCATATACTAGAATGTATTATGTGTCTAGGACTTTTCAGGATCTATAAGAGAGTTGGTAGGTTGCCATGATTTACTAAACTGTTAATAGTGATTGCAGTATGTACCTCCAAGTATTTTATATATCCCACTTTGTCTGGAAATTCAAAGCGTTGCATCTAGAGACAGCAATTTTGTTTCAGTTTTCAGCAATATATTTCAGCAATTTTGTTTTTTTTTATA